TCGTACCATTGCAACCAAAACAAAAACGCGTTGACAAACTGAATAACAATCTCTCTGTGCCCCTTTCTAGGTCAGCTTGAGGTTAGATTTTGTTTTTGTTTGCTTCTATGAAAGACCTTGACAGAACAGATCACCAAGACCTTCTCAAAACCTTCAATTGCACTGAAAATGTTTTGTGAAATTTTGTGGCTAGAAAAAACAGGTTTATTGACGAAGTACCTCTTGAATACCCAACAGAAATCGGTGCCGCTTATCTCGACCTTCTCTTACAACGACAAAAGTTTCGATGCTACCATATGATAAGGGCGATAATTTCTGTATCGTGAATTTGCCATTTCTGGATAACAGTAATCCCATTTTCCAAACCTGTGCTGTTTATATGTCACAGTCGTTTTGATATTCACGAATTGGTTCCCATATCACGTCTGTAGTGCAAGATGTAGATAACTGACAGATACGCACACAAACCAGGATTTCGAATGATGCCGGTTAGTACAGATTTCATTGAGTAACATTCTAACGATATCGCATTGTGCGTCCTGGATGTATTTATTACTTGTTAGTAACCCTTATGATTCCTTTGCTCTCATTAGGCAATGGGACAATTACTTGAATACCATATTCTTAAAATCTTTTATTTTGTTTATATATTTAATGTTTTCAGTAACAGTAAACAGACAAATATTTGCCAATAGTTTGTCGTAATATCCTACCATGGCTGATTTATGCACTTTTGAATTTATCAGAGTAAAATATCGTTAACATTTGGGGAATGTCAACACTAATTTGATATTGATTTTGGAATCCCCATCAATAAGATAATGGCAGTCTCTATATACTCGAGTACACAACTACCGGACGTGTGCAGAACCGGCATTTTTCTTTCGTGTCAACGAACAACGGGGCGTTGAGGAAACCAAAATAGATCTGCAGGCCTAATCTCGTGCTCTTGGTCTTTTTCTCACCTTGAATTTTATGACTGCCCTCATTTTAGGGTCCCCATATGACCCTGGTTGTTGAAAGAATGTTTAACTCTTTGAAAACAAGGCTACATTGAAAACAATGACAGATGTTTCACAAGATTTAATTCTCGGACCTCCTGCTGACTTATACATTAGCAATCAGCAGAAGACACATTACTCAACATTTTTTCCCATTTTTTGTCTTAAAGTTCAAAAAGGTTTTACGTCAGGTAAGTGATTGTTTACTTAGATTTAGATTCGACTTAGTATTCTAAATTACACGTGGTAAGACGGATTGAAAATTGTGCAAAAGAGGACAACACCTTTAAATACAAGTTTTGTAACTGCATTATATTGCTGTTTTGTCCTTCAAGTGAAAAGCTCTGCTAAGGGCATATGAGCCAAATCCGAAATTCAAAGAAATAGAAAGAAAAGTAAAAACCTAGACGGAGGCCCTTAAACATAAAACAGAACAAAAGAAATAGACCAAGCATTCCAGCGTTTTCTGCATCATCGGCGACACTCGGCGTGTCAAATCATGTTCATTCTCAATGGAGAGCTTGGTTACTAACAACGGATGGATAGATCACGCAGCCATTCTAAAGTTCATCAGATAAAGATATAGAGGTTCTTATAAATACAAACGTTCACAGCGAACTTTGTAAGAACGCTGCTGTCATGTTTCCAAATGACACAGGAAAATAATCACGGTTTTCAGATTCCAAGCTTATTTCCGGCAGTCTTGCATTTATTTCTCGTTATCTGAACGAACTAAGACCGTCCATCATAAATAGAAACTGCTTATTGACATGATGCCACACATGCACAAGCAATACAGGATAATAATAAGCGATTTTTAGATGATTGTATAACATCCTGGCGAGTTAATTGATTTTCGGACCTGCCATGACTCTCTGACCAATGGAAAAACTATAAAAAGTCACCCCATGGACACACTTCCAGTGGCCGGCTTTAAATGCCGACGTTTGTTGGCTTTGACACTTTGGCAAGGGATAATATTAATCCCATAACTATGTACAATATTGTGTAAACACAGAAAGCTGGGTGTTAGAAATGTCTGGAGTGCGTTAGCTCTACCAGACAATGAATTACGTATACACCAAAATCCATTTAAATGTCAGAATTTATACATGTTTAACAATCATTCTTGTACTCTAATTGTAAACTTGTTCATAGATAATACTGGTCCATTTATAAAACACAAAACTTATCCTGTAAAATTTGAAAACGTACCTGTATTGAAATCCAAGCGTTATGCTCCATAACATCTACCAGCAGGTGAAAAAAAATTTAAGAAAGTTCATGAAAATATACGATGATATAAAGGATTCTCTTTGATCTTCATTGCATTAGAATGAGTTTAATAAAATGTTGTGTAGTTTCAGAACGAGGCTAAAGCCTATGTAAGTCTATCAGTATGTATTTGACAAGTCCGTCAGGTACATTTATTTGACATCTCTTTGCAAAATCGTTCTGAAAGTGATGTGAGACACTCTATGTGGACATAGACGTGTTTCCTATTGTGATGATTTGATTGCAAACTTCCTCTATCGGTCACGGCATATATCAAATATATACAAAATGCATTATAATGACCTAACATAAAACATAACTTTAGATTATATTGCATGCATATTTACATATTTGTATTAACTTATCAAATATGCATCGAGTTTCGAACGATACCTTAATTTCAGATTTTCATTAAGTTTACATGCTTGTATTATTGTGAACAATGGAAATTCCCCTGCTAATTGCCCTTAATTTGTTCTCATGTCGGGTAAACTTCAGTCGTGTACTGTGGTGTAGCAATAATGTATGCTTGTACGCTGAAACTCATACTTGACTTTCAGTGAGATATTTTTCTAACTTCATCCCCCCCCGACCCCACATCGCGACTTCGCTCCTTGACATTCTCTCGAAAGCATACACGCCTGTTGCTACGCCTCTTGTGTAATTACCTCTAGCAAAGCAAGTGCCATAAAACACGTGCCGAATTTATATTTTATATTTTTGTTTGTGTGTGTTTTGTTTTGTTTTGCTTTTTTCAGTTATTGTTTGTTTGATTTTTGCATTTGTTTTGTTTTTTTGTTTCGGTTTTTTTAGATTTTAGACTTTTTAATATACAAACGGCGCAAATAGTGTAATTTAGTGAGATATATTTTGATATGTTTGACATATAATAACAAAATGAGTCATCGGTGCCCTCCGAAGGGCGTCATAATGACTTTATCACAATCAAACTTTCAACTACAGTACACTAGCACTTGAGTGTGGAGGCTTTACACAATTTGATATAAATTGTTTGTCATCGTATTCATGCTTTAAGAAAAGTACAATTGCACATTTTTGTTGATATTCAGTGATGGCAAAGTGCTATAGGTCATTTTAACATACGGCACGAAATCGCGATTTAAAAATTGTAAATATGAAAAATTGACGTATGTCCATATATTTGCAATAATTCTCTAAGTGTACATTTTGCTATCGGATCAGTCATATTCTTAATCAATACCCCGTTATCTACAGGCATGTACCCGTTTGTTTTCAACTCTCAACTAAAATAACGAGTCATTGAAAAACAACTTCATTTAGCTTCTGAAAGGACCACTACTTGCTAACGACAAATACTTTGGATCGTTCAATGACAAGAGAGTTATCTTTCAGTGCATTCAGTCTCTGTGAAAGGCATACAAACGGGATTCGCATTCAAAACAGCACGGTCCGCAAAAAGAAATTACGCAAGCATAAGGATGATTTTATTTTACAGAAAACCAATGCTTGTCAAATTCATATTTTTCATTGTTACGACAGAACATCGATCTCTGACCACATTTTCCCTATCTCATGCACATCCAGTTTCATTTACGTACTTGTGTACTGTCTCTCACAGGTTTGCTAAAGACACACTTTTACTTACAATGCTCTCCACTGTATGATACAATGTCGCCTAAAAAACGTTTTAAACCACTTCTGAACCGACACACGTTTTATAAACGTTCGTCCAAACATTAAAAGGATTATTTTTCTTGCTCTTATCTCCCTTAGGGATAATTTAAGCATATTGACGCAACGCTTAAAACTTTATATCACTTTTCTATACATCATTAAACCTGCTATTGGTTTAGTCGAGAACTGGAATCTAATTTGTCGAAGTTTACGAAACTGTTTGTAATGACCCGTATGTCTAAAGAATTCCCAGTGTAGTGTCACTTTCCTCACCTACCCGCCATGAATACACCATATGACACCAGACCAGGGTTTACATGAAAAATAAAACACATTTAATCGTGTCAAACAGTACCCTCTTAAACCATAAAATTAAAATATAACACGCAGAACTGTTGCAGAAGTATATACCTTCACAGAACACCAATATTATTACTTTAAGTTACTGGCAGTTTGACGCTTCTACATCAATGCCATCTTCGATTATCGTGACATTTTACTGAAATCCTTAAATTCTTTATTTGTTTGTGTATGTCTTCTCTAAACCTTTACATAGATTGTTATTCCAATTTGAATCATTGCAAATGTTTACTTTTGCAATGCTTTTTTTCTCGACTAGAATATTGAAGCCGGTTCTAATGTGCACATGGCTACTTCAGTCATTTAAGTATATTTAGTGAGTTACTTCAAAACTTAAACATATATTTAGTTTAAATTTGTATCAATGAAAATTATCACGTTATCCCCCCGACATATAGACTCTCCCGATATGGAAAACACAAACTCGAGTGCACGTACACCTCTGTAAACAATAGCCAGCTCACCTGTGGACAGATGTAAACACAAACAGGAGTACTGAAACTGAGCTCAAGTTTTGTGTCTGTCAATATCTTAATATCGTTTTTAGATAAAGATACGACATATATTCAGTATATATGAGTATTTATTTGTGTTATTGACAATGTGAATAGTATTCACGATGTACTGCAATACTTGGCACTGGGTAAGTCAACAGGAGGAAACTGTCGAAGCAAAAAGGAGGAAACTGTCGAAGCAAAAAGGAGTAAAATGTGGAAGCAAGGAGGAGGAAAATGTGGAAGCAAAAAGGAGGATACTGTGGAAGCAAGGAGGAGGAAAATGTGGAAGCAAGGAGGAAAATGTGGAAGCAAGGAGGAAAATGTGAAAGCAAGGAGGAAACTGTGGAAGCAAGGAGGAGGAAAATGTGGAAGCAAAAAGGAGGATACTGTGGAAGCAAGGAGGAGGAAAATGTGGAAGCAAGGAGGAAAATGTGGAAGCAAAAAGGAAGAAAATGTGGAAGCAAGGAGGAAAATGTGGAAGCAAGGAGGAAACTGTGGAAGCAAGGAGGAAACTGTGGAAGCAAGGAGGAAACTGTGGAAGCAAGGAGGAGGAAACTGTGGAAGCAAGGAGGAAAATGTGGAAGCAAAAAGGAGGAAAATGTGGAAGCAAAAAGGAGGAAAATGTGGAAGCAAGGAGGAAACTGTGGAAGCAAGGAGGAAAATGTGGAAGCAAGGAGGAGGAAACTGTGGAAGCAAGGAGGAAAATGTGGAAGCAAAAAGGAAGAAAATGTGGAAGCAAGGAGGAAAATGTGGAAGCAAGGAGGAAACTGTGGATGCAAGGAGGAAACTGTGGAAGCAAGGAGGAAACTGTGGAAGCAAGGAGGAAACTGTGGAAGCAATGAGGAAACTGTGGAAGCAAGGAGGAAAATGTGGAAGCAAGGAGGAAAATGTGGAAGCAAAAAGGAGGAAACTGTGGAAGCAAGGAGGAAAATGTGGAAGCAAGGTGGAAAATGTGGAAGCAAAAAGGAGGAAACTGTGGAAGCAAGGAGGAAAATGTGGAAGCAAGGAGGTAAATGTGGAAGCAATGAGGAAACTGTGGAAGCAAGGAGGAAACTGTGGAAGCAAAAAGGAAGAAAATGTGGAAGCAAGGAGGAAACTGTGGAAGCAAAAAGGAGGAAACTGTGGAAGCAAGGAGGAAACTGTGGATGCAAGGAGGAAAATGTGGAAGCAAGGAGGAAACTGTAAAAGCAAGGAGGAAACTGTAAAAGCAAGGAGGAAACTGTGGAAGCAAGGAGGAAACTGGAAGCAAGGAGGAAAATGTGGAAGCAAGGAGGAAAATGTGGAAGCAAGGAGGAAACTGTAAAAGCAAGGAGGAAACTGTGGAAGCAAGGAGGAAACTGTGGAAGCAAGGAGGAAACTGTGGAAGCAAGGAGGAAAATGTGGAAGCAAGGAGGAAAATGTGGAAGCAATGAGGAAACTGTGGAAGCAAGGAGGAAACTGTGGAAGCAAGGAGGAAAATGTGGAAGCAATGAGGAAACTGTGGAAGCAAGGAGGAAACTGTGGAAGCAAGGAGGAAACTGTGGAAGCAAGGAGGAAACTGTGGAAGCAAGGAGGAAAATGTGGAAGCAAGGAGGAAAATGTGGAAGCAATGAGGAAACTGTGGAAGCAAGGAGGAAACTGGAAGCAAGGAGGAAAATGTGGAAGCAAGGAGGAAAATGTGGAAGCAATGAGGAAACTGTGGAAGCAAGGAGGAAACTGTGGAAGCAAGGAGGAAAATGTGGAAGCAAGGAGGAAACTGTAAAAGGAAGGAGGAAACTGTGGAAGCAATGAGGAAACTGTGGAAGCAAGGAGGAAACTGTGGAAGCAAGGGGGAAAATGTGGAAGCAAGGAGGACACTGTGGAAGCAAGAAGTAAACTGTGGAAGCAAGGGGGAAAATGTGGAAGCAAAAAGGAAGAAAATGTGAAAGCAAGGAGGAAAATGTGGAAGCAATGTGGAAACTGTGGAAGCAAGGAGGAAACTGTGGAAGCAAGGAGGAAAATGTGGAAGCAAGGAGGAAACTGTAAAAGCAAGGAGGAAACTGTGGAAGCAATGAGGAAACTGTGGAAGCAAGGAGGAAAATGTGGAAGCAAGGGGGAAAATGTGGAAGCAAGGAGGACACTGTGGAAGCAAGAAGTAAACTGTGGAAGCAAGGGGGAAAATGTGGAAGCAAAAAGGAAGAAAATGTGGAAGCAAGGAGGAAACTGTGGAAGCAAGGGGGAAAATGTGGAAGCAAGGAGGAAACTGTGGAAGCAAGAAGGAAACTGTGGAAGCAAGGAGGAAAATATGGAAGCAAGGAGGAAAATGTGGAAGTAAAAAGGAAGAAAATGTGGAAGCAAGGAGGAAAATGTGGAAGCAAGGAGGAAACTGTGGAAGCAAGGAGGAAACTGTGGAAGCAAGGAGGAAACTGGAAGCAAGGAGGAAAATGTGGAAGCAAAAAGGAAGAAAATGTGGAAGCAAGGAGGAAAATGTGGAAGCAAAAGATCATATACACAGCTCAAAAAGAACATCACAAGTAAGAAAATCCTAGATTAAAAATGGCTTTACCGCTAAATGCTAATTTTACACTCGCTAAAGTAACAAGCTCTACGGTGCTGGTTATAAAGCATATAAAAAACTGAACGGCACCTTCCCATACACATTTAGCGTTAGATACAGTAGCGCCAAATGACAAACTACATGACAACAAGACCGGCAGACGGATTGCGAAGGACACACTTGAACTGTGAAAGGATAAGACCAAGTATTATTGAACAGAAAACGTCGCCTGCTTCGCCAACACCTGAGATGCAATCGGAGAAAGCAAATTCGCATTAACTCCTTCGCAAGATGTATTTTTATCAGGAATATTTCTTATAAGACGTATCTGACCTGCCGCAAAAAGCCAAATGTATGATCGATACGATCTGTTGATAGACCCTCAGTAGAAATCTGGTTGAGGGCTACTTGTTTACCTGGATATATATTTATATGTCGCATATTTTGTTGAACTTTCGAAAAACGCTAGACGTCAACCCCGTCATACTAGCGCTAAAGTCATTACAGAACAGAAGTGCAAATTGTTTTACTAAATATCGCCCTTTTCAGCCTCCGAGCTAAAAATTAATCTTTATTATTGAAGTTAAAATTTTGTTTCATATTTGCTTTTTATTCATTCTTTTCTACATCTTAGAATTATCCCTCAAAAATCTGCGCTTATTGAACAACCCAATTGAAAACATATAACAAATGAATATTGACTTTCCAACGTAAACCACAAGTCAGAAAACGCAGTGGGTACAGTGAGAAACATATGATTTGTCATTTTTCTAGCTTGGCATCTTTCCCAAAATTTCAGCGTTGCTAACATCAAACTTGTCAACAGATGAAAAATTGAAATGTCATTTTTTCGGGCTATGTTACCACTAATTCATTCTATGGATTGAGAAAGGTCTCATTGTTCTGTTCCATTTTTGATTCCAATGATAAAACTTGAGAAGATAAAAATGTAACGCTGGACGAAGGACAAACAGGACTACTTTATCTCAAACTGACCATCCTGGAAGTTGACCTTCAAGTTACATTGTGACGATTTGTGTTATACAGCACCAAATTGTCAAATCTCAATCAGGCAATAAAATGCTAAATATTTTCTCCCAAATCGGCGCTGTTCAACGTTAGTAAATCGAAAATGACCATACTGCAATTCGCTGTCATTAAGTAAAAAATGCCTTCATCAGCGAAAACCATTCGTATTCGTACAAATTTGATTATTTGATTGAAGTTGATGCAAATAAATCATGAGTCATTTGAGAAATATTGTTCTTGTCGCCAAGCTTTATTGTTACAAAACAGAATTCGGTTTATCGTAGGAGACTGAGACAACCAGTCTCATAAAGATATTATTACGTCACCTTCCTGTAGCCATTAAAACGGCAAAGATTTGCTGTTGTGGTATAAGGGGAATTTGTGTGCTTGCCTTCGGATACATTTAATAACGGTTACATCGAAATTTTAAAAATGAAACATACGAGAAATGTTTAAACCAATATAGAAGGTTGATAAGTCTAAAGTGCATTGAGGTTTATCAATTGTATCTGATTCCTATGATTCCAATGAAGAATTGGGATTCTCGATAATATCACATTCTCAAATAAGAAAACGGTATACAACAACGGAAATAGGATATTTTTCAGTGAGATCACTATGACAACCGTAAAATTTCCCAATAAGTTTCATCAACCTGCATCTTTTGTGATTTTGTTTTACGACTTTGTAGGTCATTTCTTGCACGAAAATCTTGATAATTTGAGCGGGCCTTTGAATATGGAATCAACTGCGACATGTTAACACCGTTGGTCCGGGATGCAGGAATTTGACTATCCAGAAATGGAAAATTGAAATCATGACGCTTACCATACAGCTTGGTTGAAAGCTTCCATGTTGATTTCGCTGTAGGAAAAGATTGAGGTAATTGGCTGATGTAAACATCGAAACAACTTTCCTAAATTTAGTTTGGACTTACAAAATGGGTGGAAACACCCCCTCACAGTTAACAATAGACTGTACAAATGTAGTATATTGGGAAATTCAGTCACTGAATGGATCATAGATTTAATGCTAAATATCGGGAAAATACAAATGTTTGTACGCTATTCAATGATGTTTGCTGCAAGGATCAAATTTGAAAACGAATCTGTTATTACTATATCATCGTTGAGCTAATGTTGAGCTAATGTTTGTCAATCGATTTAGCTAGACCTACAAGAGAATTTCCATATTGCAAATATCGGTTTTTTTTTGTTTAAATTGTGAATTGAAGCGAAAATTAATTCATTAATTTAAGGAAGCCCTTTTGTGATTTTATTTAAAATAAAACAACATATATACATTTTACATGTATATGAATTCCTCCCCCCCTCCTCTCTCTCTCTCTCTCTTATTAGATCCGGAAAATGATTAAAATTAAGATTAAAAATCATCAAAACTTTGGAGACAAGTGATCGATTCCAGGTATAGTAATGTAGGAAGACTATGAACTCCTACCTGGTGCTGAACATTCCTTTACAATAACATGTTATTACTTTAAAGACATTTTAGCCTCATTCCATGAGCAAACCGTCGTCTCTTAAAGACTTCCGTTGCATTTTAACGCTTGCCTTTATGTAGTCTTACATATAATGTGAGGTGCCCTGCTGAAGGTCTTCGGTATCATTCTTCAATGAGGAAACGCTCTAAGGAAGGCATGCGTTCCACACTATCACAAGGAAGCTTACAGGTACATATTAAAACCACATAAAAGCACATACTCGCTACGAATACAAGACAAGGCACTCTTTTAATGACCTTAACTGTTAAATTTAAACAATCTTAAATAAAACTTGTCATTCTAAATGACCTATATTCAACCTAAGCGCAAGGAATTATCCAATGTTTTTGTCGCTCCTGATTTTTATTGTAAGATCACGTTGTGCTTTCCTTCCATATGAACAATTCTTCTTTAAATCATAATACACAAAATCCGCTCACTTCGAAATGCAAACATTAAGCTTGTTTCCGAGTAGGGCATTATCATGTTAAATCTAAAATTGTCCTTCCAAATTCCTAAGCTGATGTTTTATCCGAAGGTGTCAACTTCGGGACAGTGATAGAAGGATCCGAAGGAATACAGATCGATGGCCATTCTAAAGTTGACTTTAAGTAACCATTAGTCGGCATTGAGCTATTTACATTGGGATTAATGAAGTGGAAATGGGGAATAATCTTATTTTCTTAGTTTTTATTAGCCAAACCTGTCTTTTTATGAGGCAGTGGTGTCTGAAGAGAGCTTAATGGGAGGACTTGAGCCAATTAAACCTCAGACTTTAGGAACTATGTTTTCTATATCCAATGGTTTAATAGTGATCAGTCCGTTAAACAACGCTCTTGAGAGAGGGATTACAAGCCGCTCTTAATAACTTGTTATTCTTACATCCGACAGCCCAGGTTGTTACAATTTAAGGATTGCACAATGAACCGAAACGCCTCTTGCACTTCGTCCTTGCATCGCCCATGTATCGTCCATACAAACACATAATGCACTATCATATCTTACAATTGCATAGGATACTCGCTAAGTCGGCTGTTTAGTTAGAATTGGTCGATCAATATTATGGATTGAAAAACTAAACAGAAGTCTCATAAACTAGTGATTGAATAACAGAACAGTTTAGGCGTTGATCGCTGTTTAGGGACTATGCCAGTAGCTTGATAGAAACAATCAAAACAATTCAGGGTAATGCGTTTGTTGGGGATGTCAAGTGCTCTGACAGTTTTAGCGAATGATATGCCTGCATGACTGAACAGAAGGAATGCGTGTATATGTACTTAATTGTAGTGTATACGGATGTTTGTGGGCGTAAAAACAAATGCCCTCTTTCTTTCGTAGAGGAAAAGAATAAGATGGATATAGAAGGAATTCAAATTTATTTTCCAAATTTTAGTAATTTATTTTACCTTTGCCCTAACTAAAGAAGCATACATTTCAATGGATGAAGGCAATTAGTCGCTGCACAGGTACATTGCGTTTTCCCTTGGTACAAAGAAATATGTTTCCAATTTGTTATGTAGACAGATCATCTCAACCTCTAATTGAATTTTCATTAAGTTTGAATATCTTTCGGAGTGCTGAATAATCTTATTACCAGGTGGTTCTCTGCAACAAACGTGAGTCATTTGTCCTTTCTATGAGATATTTTCTTTCTTTCGCTGAAATGCAAGTTGTATTGATGAACTAAGCTTATCGTTTAAAATTGTCTATGACATCTTATACTTAAAACAATTATATTATACATTATTGCATGGTTATGTAAGTGACATCAAATTGATTTTTCTGGTGATATTTTTCGTGCAAAGGATCAGAGGAGCTCGAAACAGAATTCTCCGATCGCAACACCTGGCGACACACAGTCCGGCATCAATAAAGTCGAGATGAAGAGAAAATTCAGAAGGGAAGAACGACAGCTGAGGAGTCAGCAGAAAATACAGTCAGGTCCCAGTGCTATCCACACTGACGAGTTCACATGCGGCAGATCCCGGCGAATCTTCAAAGACTGGCCTACAAGAACGCAAGCTAATTCAAGGTACAACTGCTTTCGAGACTAATGCATGCCAGCAACAGCTACATGCCAGTTATTTTTCCTTAGCTTAGCTTTCCTAATAAAAACAACTTTAACATGTAACGTGATAGATATATTTTCTCTAGGTAACAACTATGCAGAAATAACATCAAGAAAAATACCAACATGGCAACATAATCATAATTCAAACTCAAATTCCATAAAACCAAGGCAAAATATGAACTAACGAAAGATTTACACAGGAACACAGTACAAGGATAATAACACCAGGTGTTCTGTAAGAGTAAGCGTCTTCTGCTTCATAGACAACACCGCCGTGATAACCTTGGTCAATTCAAGTAAGTTATATCACATTCTCAAATGAGAACACGGTATACAAAATCGGGACCAACAGGCAAACTAACGAGCATCGATTACGTCCAGCGTCATGTTGCACAGAGTAATTAGATATTTCTAAACGGGCATAATACTTCACAAACATGCATCTTTTGAACCCTTGTCTTAGGAGTATGTTCTCAATGCTGTAACACAATTAATCACGTAAAATAAGTTTTCTTTTTTATTTATCTTTCTGCGAAATGTAAACTATATTTTTAAAATTCCTTTCGCCTCTAAATCCAACAGGGTGTTTACACTATACAGTGGTCATCTTGATCTCCTTTTAAGGTATCGGTTATTCTGGGCATCGGAATACAGCGATATTTTGTGTTTTCATCCAGTAGAAAATCCTGATGTCAGTTAAGAGTGATCCAGGGGTGGAAGCGTCTGGTTCTTTTTATAACAAGCCATCCAGTTCTGGGCCGCGGTTCAAGTCCTAGGTGGGACAGTGACCAGGTACTCGTCGCAGATCGATAATGTTCTCTGGCTCTCCTTCATGAACAAAGTTAGCGCATCCTTGATGACCTTGGTGTAAATAGGACGAGTATAAAACAACTAAACTAAAAACTCAAATAAGCAATGGTTTATTAAAAAGTCTTCCATGAATTGAGTTTGCAAGTTTGGCGAGTAAACATTAAAATGTCCTGTCGAGTTTAATAAAATAAATAAATAATAAAAAAACCAACTTTTTATCACATAACTAAGAAAAGTTACATATAATGAAGTTAAATTTGCTTTGGCTATAAGACAAATACTGCCAATTATTAATTGCTCATTTATTAAGGTAAAAAGCAGCATATGAGTTTTTGCCATGAGTGGTCTAAGCGTCAGTACTACACACTTTTAGAGCAAGGATCACTCTTATTTTTGGGCCAGTAACGAATAGTCACCATCAAGAAAAAATTTCGACAAACTATATATTTGTGTGTTTTTCCTGTTTTTTTCGCACGAGTATAGAATACTGTATCAGAAAACGGTCTTAAGAATCATGTCATTCCGCTCTACATACCACGTGTGGAGTAGTAATTTACCACCAAACCTTTAAATTTTCACTCCCCCCCTGAGGCCATCAGTGACATAGAAGTATTACAAGTATTATACGCCCTTGTTTGGAGACGATCCTTTCAAAATTTTGCTTACTTGTTAAAGAGTAATTACAATTTTGTAAACATGTCACGGGGTAGAAAATTATTCTTTGTATGCGTGTGTGGTTTTTTCCCACAGAAACTAATCTATTTTCTCGCAAAAATAGGTCAAAATTGTAGAGTGATCGGAAAGCAGAGTTCATTACAAGCTAATTTAGTACATAAAGATATTTCAGGAAACGTAACTGGATATCATTATGAAGACAAAAAAGCCATTCTTTATTACAGAATGTAATGCTCTGAACAGCACCATATTTGTACACTTCTGAGTTTTTCGCCTCCAGTGGATGGTATTGCATTGTAATGTTAAGATATTAAAGTCACTTGATTGACAACAATTTACTGATCATAGAAAAGAAATGTACATAGATCTTTAAAGTAATTTTTTGAAAAATTGTTGCCAGTGTAGCAGTAATGAGGACCTGCATCTGATTATACCACTGACATAATTGATTTTTAACAGTTTACAGTGGGTCATCGCTGTCTCAGATAGGTAAGGTACCATCGGCACACTTGCTCTTCTCTAATGTTTGTGTTTTTTAACAACATTTCGTTGTTTCTGGATGACGTTCAGCACTAGAAACATTCAAGCAAAATATATAAAAGGGTTTTACAAATGAATGACCTCGATGCGTTTGCACTATAAATTGTCGACAGAAAAAAAAAAATAAAAAAATAAAAAAAAAAAAATGGATGGTTGGATTGCCGCTGCTTGAACATGTCATTCAGGCATTTTGAAAGTTGGTATGGTCCTGTAGACTAGTAAGCTTGAGAAACATTGTTAAAGTGTTTTGTAAGTAAATGATAAGTCATCGAGAGGCATTGCTTTACATACTAACATTAAAAAAATTATCGATATTCAATTAAAAGTTATAATTAGTACCCATTAATTAGAGATATATCAAGTGGCCTTCTATAACCGTCTTTGTTTTTGTGGACAGGAATTCAAATGTATTAGTTTACATAACTTGACTAAAAACGGAAAACCTCAGTGCGTTTTCGGAATCCTTAAATTTAGTTTATGTTGATTCTAATTTTAACGTCTTCTTGACGGCTGTGATCATATAATGACGGTCTTCATATACATGCTTTGTGAGTGCATGTTTAGAAAAACTCAAACTAAACATATTTTGCGTGAAGTTTTGGCAATGTCAAGCTGAAAGTTTTTTCTTCTCGGGAGATTTCTAGATTACGTAAATTTGTCAAATAATTGTATCAAACAATGTATTAGAATAACCGAAAGTAAGAACGTTAATATCCTTAAACGGAAAGAAATGGAAATCATTGAGGCTAATATTGGGGATGTGTAAACAAAGACAAAAAAATGACTTAAAAATTTCATCCAAAACACCATTCCTAATTATTTCAAGTCATGTTTTTGTTAATATGTGTAGACATTTGTAAGTATACGATACCGTAAACACTCCCAAATATATATGAATAATAGTAATATATTTTTGTAAATTTTTAAATATAACCATAGGCCTTACTTGATAGAATAGATGCTCACATATATGTTAAAAATAATGTAGTGTTAAAGGAAATATAAGAAAGGAACAGAACTAAGAAAAAATAGCAGGTTCAAAGCTAATCACGTCTTACGACCAAACAATGGAGACATCAGGTAAAATGATTTCGCCAGTCGTTTATGGCAGAAGAAAACAGCAACCGGGAAAATCGGATAATGAACCCCAGAACATGGAAGTAAGTCAATATGCTTCGAAAATAGTAATGACAATCTTCAGGTAACTGTTTGAATGGTAGATTAGATGCACAGCAGACGGTTATCGTTATAGTCTACAACATAACCTTACTCATAGTTTCACGACATAAGCAATCGTTTGCTTTCCTGAGCGAAACTATTTGAACTGAAATTAGCAGTCAGAGACATACGCAATCAATTAGAAGATAGAAAAACTTTGCTTAAAAAGACTATTATTAAGATTGGTTAATTAAAGAAGCACTATTCCAGCTTGAATAAGTCTGTTTTAAATATTGATTGTATATTTACATCGACTTGTCTTCATCGGATAAGTGTCACGATTGAAAATATTCACATGTACTTGATATTGTTCTGAAATTATCTGATATGTGAAATTATGGGGCTATTATCTTTCCCCATCTAGATTTTTTACTTTTCTTCAAATCACTCTTGAATGTTCCTCAGTGGCCTCTAGTTCTCAACATTTAGGACCGCAGCATCACTAACGGGTCTTAGCAGGAGGAAACAGCTGTATGGTGTAGCATCACTGACGAGTCTTAGAAGGACGAAACAGCTGTATGGTGTAGCATCACTGACGAGTCCTAGGAGGACGAAACAGCTGTATGGTGTAGCATCACTGACGAGTCTTAGAAGGACGAAACAGCTGTATGGTGTAGCATCACTGACGAGTCTTAGAAGGACGAAACAGCTGTATGGTGTAGCATCACTGACGAGTCTTAGAAGGACGAAACAGCTGTATGATGTAGCATCACTGACGAGTCCTAGAAGGACGAAACAGCTGTATGATGTAGCATCACTGACGAGTCCTAGAAGGACGAAACAGCTGTATGGTGTAGCATCACTGACGAGTCCTAGAAGGATGACACAGCTGTATGGTGTAGCATCACTGATGAGGCCTAGAAGGATGACACAGCTGTATGGTGTAGCATCACTGACGAGTCCTTAAAGGACGAAACAGCTGTATGGTGTAGCATCACTGACGAGTCCTTAAAGGACGAAACAGCTGTATGGTGTAGCATCACTGACGAGTCCTTAAAGGACGAAACAGCTGTATGGTGTAGCATCACTGACGAGTCTTAGAAGGACGAAACAGCTGTATGATGTAACATCACTGACGAGTCCTAGAATTACAAAAAAGCTGTTTCCAGTGTGGCCCATTGAAGTTAGCGTAATGTTTCTATGACCGAATTGACACATGTACTAGGAGAAATAAATCACAATTTGTGAATCTTTTTAACCAAGAAGCTATAAAATGGTTTGAATGCTAATATTGTTTCGGCAAGGAAATACCCAATAAGACAACGTTGACATTTTTTTTTCATGAAAATCTGTTAAGAATTTTATTCACAAAGTTCCGGAAGATGCCTTTTAGTGATATTATTGAAACGACGCCTTGGTCTTACATTGCAAACGTAGGAGGTAAAAATGCAAGTCACCCAGTCGCTCGAAAACTTGACATCAAAGAGAATTCTCGTCAAAATCCATTTCCGAAAGGCTGCAGACAAGGTCATTTTAACAAACAAATGAACAGTCGACCGAGTGACATTTTACTAATGAAATAGTTTGTCAGGCTCCATTTCCATTCTACTTGCTTGCACTTAGTACAGAAATAGCAATATTTGTTATACATATTTGAAAAGCCGCAATTTCGAGAACTGTAAAATGACGATACATTATCAGAAATAAATGTACATTACCGGATACACAATTCCGAAAATAGTTAGCTAATTAGGTCATTTTACTTTTTCTTCATTACT